AAAAAAAAAAGCCGAATACAACGTTATTTTAACAGTAATTTTAATGGTATGATTTTTACATTTTGTTTACACCTTTACAAACTTTGTTTACTGTACCTTTATTTAGTTTACATAATTATTTCAAATAATTCTATTTTAACCATTAATTTAAAATTTGCATAATGTGGATGAAAAATATTGAGCGTAAATTAAATATATCAGGATAGGTGATGTCTAAGTTTTTCAATCTTACAAAATACTATGCATTATTTTTATTTATAAATTGGAATTTCAATTAAACAAAAATGAATTTAAGTTAAATTCGTTGTTAAAAAATTCTAATTAAACAAGAAAAGAGCAAAACTGTTTGCATAATGAATTGATTTATACAAAACAGGGCTAACTTTCAGTTTGAATCTAATTAAATGAATCTGATAAATTCTCAAATGAAATGTTTTTTTCAAAAAGCTAAATTCCATTTTCATCAATTGAGTTTTAATATGTAAATTTGACAGAAATGAAAATCTTAAATAAACTAAAGAAAAGAAAAAACGAAAATAAAAATAGAAAAGATAAAATGTTAGAAGTATCGATGAGTAAATTATTAAAACGATTGCTTAAAGTCAATCATTTCAATTGTTTTCAAGTAATTTTTTAAAAAATTGCACGAAATGAAGATTTTGATAATTTATTGCAACTTTTTCAATGTTTATTCATGTCAACTAAACAAAGATTAATTAAAATTAATAATTGTAGGATTGAAAACAATAAATTAATCGTATAGATTCCTGAAAATTTTAGAAATTTGTCGAAATTAAACAATCAACTTGTCATAAAATGAAATAGTACGCCCCATTCTCGTTAATCAACAAATTGCAACATTGTCCATCTTCGTCATTTATTTTCCATAGGACTAAACAGGGTAATCCTTTACGATAATTTGATCGTCATATTATAAATTTCTTATGATGAAAGGGTCACACTTTTAAATGGAAACCAATGAAAAGTAATTTTAAATCATTATTGTTTTATTTACCCTGATAGTATTTGCAAATAATAATTAGTAATTAATAATGCAATCTTTGATCAAATATATACTATAATGAACAAAGTAGTGGCGATATATTAGTTTCTATTAAAAATAATTTCAATCGAATTATTCAAAAAATTTTCATTCAAATTTTGATTGAATGAATAAAATGTAAAATTAAAAAGAAAGATGATGAATGTTGTTTTTTAATTGATTTATATGAGTATATCAGATGTGAAATTTATTTAATTTATCATATCGAACAAACCGATCAATTTTCCCAGTGAACAATGTGATTAATCTTTTAAGTGATTAATCAATTTTTTAAGTGATCAAGCGATCAATCTATAAAGTGATCAATGTGATCAGTTTTCTCAGTAATCAGTGTGATTAGCTTTCTCAGTGATCAATGTGATCAGTTTTCG